CAAAAGCCAAACACAACAAAGAACACTCCATAAACCACTTGTTTTATGCCACCTACTTTAACCTTACAAGTCCAGTGGAAAACAAGCTAAAATGATAAAACCAATTACTATGTCCATGGAATGTTCTGGTTTTCCAAAACAAGTATTTCAGCATTTACCTCATGATGTAATCAATATTCCGTGCCAACCTTGGCATTTTGGTTGCATCCTACAAAATACCTTGTACAACCTGAGATCCCAGAATTCATTTTTCCAGGTCCTTTTTCAATTCCTGTTTATCTTGGACACCCTGCAGAAAACTCCAGTTCTGATAGCCTTTAGCGTCAATGGGCTGTCCCAATTACAAATTATTTGCAGATGGCTTTGGAAGTACTACAGTAAGTACACTGGTCACCAGCATAGCCACATAACTATTTATACAGCATGATACTTGGAAACCCTTCTCACAAAACAGACGTCCACTCTGCGGGGCGCTGTACAGAGAAAGGTTATTTTTGTCCTTAAAAGCTTATACTCAGTGTAAAGCAGAAAAAGAAAAGGAATACTGACATACAGACATGAGTACAGAAAAACTAAGACGACAATTTCAAAACAATAGACTTGGCGTTCACGCACCATCAGTCTACCTCACCTTCCTCCAAGTGTCATCTAACTAACATCTTGACATCTTAACTAACTAGCTCTGTGGAATAGGAAGGAGACAACTATGCTCCAGATCAACAATATCCAACAGTGGCAACAGACTTTCAGGAGGTGAAAGGCTACTGTCTTCAAACTAACTGCAGAGCTCAAGCAGCACTTCGGTAACGAAAGACCACTATTTGCCTTTCAGCAATGTCTTATGTTTCCTCTTGTTATTTTGGAAGGCCATACTCATAGTCTCTGTCAGCTGAAAAAGAATCATCTGACATTTGGATGCATGAAAACAGTAGATGTCCTGAGAACAATGCAATATATACCTGGAAAACTGGAAAGCTCATAGCAAAGTTTGATGATTTTAAGAAATACATGCCTCTTCCCAGAAGATTAGGTATCACACATTATTTCTAAGACAAAGAGGATATCCCATTCAATGAAAGCTGGGTAGTAAAAATAATCTGAATAATTTCATAAAGAATCAAAGACAATACTTCCGCAAGAAGTCCTAGCTAACTCAAGATGATGTCAGACTAAACTCGGAAAAAATTAACTACCTTTTTTTTAAACACAAGTTCACATAATGAGATAAAAAGATACTGTATTAACTCTGTTACTGATGAATCACCAAAACACTGGAGAAAAGGGAATGGTTTCATTCATTCTTTCTCACCTCAAGTTTGACCACCTATCATTTAATTTACAGATATTAAAAATGCTTCCACAATTATCATAAACCAAGTAGTACTCCTAGACCTTAACGCATCTTCATTTTAGTCTATTCTAGATTATATTTAAAGCAAAATCACAGATACATCAGATTACAGGCTTTCCCGTACAATCTGAATAGGATGTAACATTTCTTCTTGTTCCATTTGGAGCTTAAATATTATACCCAGAAGTGTTCTGTTTGTGCTTGAGCACTATCAAAAAAGTTTCCTAAAGCTCTGCAACCTGTAAGAACCTTCATTATTAGACCCTGTCGTGGTTTAAGCCCAGCCGGCAACTTGGAACCACGCAGCCGCTCGCTCACTCACCCCCTTTTCCTTCCTCCCCTGGCTCCCAGAGGGATAGGGAGGAGAATTGGAGGAACGTAACTCCCACGAGTTGAGATAACAGCTCTCCAGTAACTAATGTATAATACAAACCACTACTGCTACCAATAATAATGATAAGGGAAATAACAAGGGGAGAGGACACAACCGCTCACCACCCGCCGACCGATACCCAGCCCGACCCGAGCAGCGATCTGGGCCTTCCGGGTGACTCCCCCCAGTTTCTATCCTGGCCATGACGTGCTGTGGTGTGGAATAGCCCTTTGGCCAGTTTGGGTCAGGGGTCCTGTCTCTGCTTCCTCCTGGCTTCCCCTCCTCCCTGGCAGAGCATGAGACTGAGAAAGTCCTTGGTCAGAGTAAACATCACTGAGCAACAACTAAAACCATCGGTGTTATCAGCGTTGTTCCCAGACTGAAAGTCAAAACCACAGCCCTGCACCAGCTACTAAGGAGAAAAATGACTGCTATAGCTGAACCCAGGACAGACCCCCATGAGAATAATTAAAATCACAAAGTTTTATCCTCTCTCATTCATACTAGAACACATCGCTAACAACATTCTTTTTCATATGACTACAGTCATATGATGTGGAAGAGATCCACACCTCTAGTTAAAAAACAAGTGACTATTGCAAAGGAAAAAATAGGAAGAAGCAGGGTGAAAATTGGGAAAACATGCTTCTGGTTGTCCAAAGACATTCACTCTGAGAATATGCTTGGTTGTTAAAGAGACCAGAGAAAACTCAAGCTGCCCTGACAACTGCAGAAACACTGGTTTAGTACACAAAAAGAACACTAGTGGACTGATAAGACTAAAGCGTTGTTTAGTCAGTACAGTAAACTTAAAGAGGAAATTACGTGTGTATGGATTTATTGCAACAGACTATTCACTGAGAAGTGAGGTAGATGGGTAAAAAACAATTTGTACACATGCTTCAAAGACAGGACTACTACAGGGACAGAAACAGGCTCCAGGGCAATAAAAGATTCAAAGATAAGTGGAAATGCTATTGCTTAAATCCCTGACAAACAGATACCACAAAGGAAAAGACAGTCAAGAATATTCATTAGGAGGGTACTAACACCTTCATCTCAGCTGTGTCTCACTCTTAACTAACATTTATTTTCTTAGGGTCCCCTATAAGTAAAATGAAAACCCCACTGACTGACCAAAACCAAAGGGAGAATATTGTCCAACTAATTGGATTTTCGTTATATTGGCAACTCTGTCTTAGGACACAAGAAAGAGAGGCCCAAATCAGCTTTTTTATAACAAAGAATATAACCATGTTAAAACCAAGTAAAGGAAATCTTGGTGTGCATAGAAGAAAGCAAACAAAATCCAAGATCAGAACATTACCTTCCCTGCCCACAAAATAAAGTGCTCACGGACTTCCAAATTATGACTATAACCTCAAAAATGTAAATTGATATGACAGTCCCTGTTGATATCCATATTAACAGAAACTGTACACCACTATCAGTGAGAAACAGTCTTAACTTTTCTTCAGATCTTCACTGATGCTTACTCTATCAAAACTCAGTTGACACACCACACCCCTTTGCAGACTACTTATTTTCAAAACCTGAAGCTTCAGAAAGTGCTGCAAATAGACAATTTACTCTGTCTTTGGAAAACCATGGAAATGCTGCTTGAGTTAAGCTAAACAGGCTAGCAATATTATAAATGCTTCTGTTCAAGCTGATGCATTTGTGCTGCCTTGTATCTGTCATTATGGTTCACCACCACCTCAGGAATCTGTAAAACCATGTACACAGAGACCTGAAAAAACCCTACCCCAACAGTAAGCTATTTTACATTCATAAATATTTAAATTATCAAAAAGCCTTCAGGGGTAACAACAGTTACTCTCCACAGTTTACAACCATGAATAGTTTCTTTTGGAAATTCTATTGCCAAATAAGTTTGGGGTTTTTTTATATTAACAAACACAGTTTAATAAACAGTCAGCTTCTTAATTCTTCTTTAAGCAGAAACTTACACAACTGGAAAAAATTGCTTTACATACAGCATCACAACTTGTACGTTCATTTAATGTGTGAAAACTTCATCATGGTTCTAACATCTGTGAACTCAAAGTTCCTAGGATATTTCACTAGCTCAGGTATTTTCAGCAGTAGGACACACGCTAGAGCAATGTGTATGTGTCAATATTTACACTATTCTGATTCTCTCTCATTTTCAACACACTTAAAATGATACATTGTCTTCCAAATGAAAGTTCTCACAAAGCAACACACAAGATTTGACCACAATTTCATGCTCACTGAATGCTCTTCAAACTTGCTACACCCCTCTGCCACTGTTGGATGATGCTGGTTTTGAGTAAAAATAAACAGACACATACTTTGAATTTTCTACTTCTTCATGGATCATTTCAGTCTTTGTAGTGAAACTACTTATTGATAAGCCTAAATAAGATTCTATGAAGTTAATATACAAAGTGATAAAATCACAGATGAAAGCATCTGAAATGTGAAATTATTTAAGCATTTAGGTCGTGTAAGAAATCCTTTCTATTTACTATTGTATTTAAGACACTTCAGATGAAAACTGTTTCACTGTGCATCATTTTTGTAAAGGCAATGTGTAACTGTATACTTACCTTAAACCAGCAGAATGTAGATAGATCAAAACTGCAGCGTAGAGAGACCTGAGCTAACCCAGATACCAAAAGGAATTTAGAGACAGTACCATAGTGAAATAAGATGACTTGTAGTACTCCCACATTACTGATGCTATACCATACAGAGTCATTTTCTAACTACTGTACCTCTACTGTGCACCATATTATGCAGTGCAAACAGTTTGTAAGGAAATGCAGTGCCTCAAACCAAGTAAAACCATGGAAGTAACTATCTCTAAGTAAGGTATGATGATGATCATGATTTTAAAAACCTACATAGTTACTACCTCTCATACAAAAGAAAAGAGCACCTCACAAACTGATGACATAACCACACAAGAGAACTTCCTGCTACTATTAGTAATTAACACAACCCTAGGAATACACAGAAAGACAAGCACAAAAGCAAGAGATTATTAACTACTTACTACAGCTTTAACAAATACTGCTTATTTGGGCATTCAGTAATATAGATACCAGACTTCTACCGTTATGAATACAGAGCCTTGATTTGAATTGCAAAAAAATTTAGAACCTTTAAAACATGCAACTGATTCTTGAAGAGCATCTCTTCATTCCTCTAAACAAAAGTTATCCCTACAGTGCACTAATTTTTCTTCTGGACTGCTACTGAATCACAAATGTTAATCATTTAACTCACCTCACCTGGCTGAGGGGAAAAACAATTAACAACCTCCTCCAGCATCACTGGTATGTGCAATCGTCCACGATCATTGTTTTCCATACTTTGAAGCAACTCTTCAGTTTCACATTTCTGGATGGTTTGCTCCTTTAACTCACAGTCAGAAAGCTTTTTTGACGAAGAATGGATCCTCCTGGCCAAAATACCCACATTTATTGAATTCACTTTTAAGTTGCGCAAAACCAAACATTTGTAAACTTGACGCACACGCCGAGACAACATTTTGGAGTTGATCAACCTAGAAAAACAGATGTAGGGAATTACTTTGAAACAGATAGTTAAAACAGTAGGCTTGCTTAAAAAACAAAGTGGAAATGCTGTAAGTAAAGCATTACACAGTTCAAGATGGGCAGTTTTAAATGAGAACGTTTAACTTGTTTCAGAATTTTCTCTCTTATCTACCAACCATAGGCAAGCAACAACGATTTCCCTTTTTTAAGAAACACCTTGTTTTCCTTTACACTGGCAGACTCTATCAACGTCCCAGAGACTTTAACATTAAATGACTAACAACATCTGAGCACAACCAGAACAGTGACTTCACTTTCAGGCTGCACACTCCATTTTGCCAAAACGAGACATTTGCTCTGAGTAGTAACACTCTGGTTGCCAAGTTCTCCGTATTTCTAGTTAAAATGGGAATGCGCAAACCAAGTACTACAACCAGATTTCAAACGGTGCTATAATTTAGTGTTACATATGTAATAAATACATGGGGTTTGTTATCATAGAATGGTTAGGGTTGGAAAGGACCTTAAGATCATCTGGTTCCAACCCCCCTGCCATGGGCAGAGACGCCTCACACTAGACCAGGTTGCCAAAGACTGTCCAACCTGGTCTTGAACACTGCCAGGGATGGGGCAGCCACAGCTTCTCTGGGCAACCTGTGCCAGCGCCTCAGCACCCTCCCAGGGAAGCACTTCTTCCTTACATCTAACCTAAACTTCCCGTGTTTAAGTTTGAACCCATTACCCCTTGTCCTATCGCTATAATCCCTGTATTACATCTAACAAGCACAGCCAGAGCTAAGAATGCTCCAGAGCAAAACTAACTGAAATAATACTCAAAACTCTGGAAAAACCCAAGTGTTTAGCTACACAGTTTGTCTTTTAACTACATGGAGAACTGATGATTTTTTTCACTCTGTCTAAACCACTCCAGAACCAAGCCAGTAAGCAACTAGTAGAAGGCGGTATAACTTAATTTCCGTTGAAAAGAAGAAAAAAAAAAAAAAAAAAGAAGTTTAACATAGGTGATAACAAGGCTGTATTTGTAAGATCTCTGGATTTCCTTATGGAGCTGAGACCTGTGATACCGTATTGCATACCCTCTCCCGACAGACAACAAACTTGCAAACTTTGAAATAAAAGCATTTGAAAAAGTGCCACGCTACATTCGTACCATTAGCAAAAGGGCAACCTTATGTTAACCAACAGATTTTTATTATGTGCTTTGCTTGGATTTACCAAATCAGAGGCTTCATGTGTTATTTTGGCTGCGTAAATAAGATCATGCGAAGTTATTCTCATAACAATTTAAGTCTCAGCTTTCAGATTTACGAGAAAATACTAAGGTGAGGAAAATACTGCCCCTTCATCTTAAATCTGAAAGCGTGTGTCACTAAATAACCTCTCACAGACATACCAGAGCCCCAAGGTTCTGCAAGGAACTTCAATACCTCCACAAAAAAATATGAGCAGGATGAAGACCAACAATCACTCAACTCCCACTGCCCTACGTTGTTGCTAGGAACACCCAAAAACGGTGTTAACACCAGGGACACAATTTGCTTTCAACCAACATCAGCCTACACAACTGAGGGGTTTGTTTCTCCTCAGAAGCGAGCAGAACCGCGTTACTTTCTTACAGCACCTGCCTTACACGGCATTCGGGCACAGCCTGAGGCAGGGCTTGCCTCGAGGCTAACAAAAACTGCACTCCGCAGGGATTTCTCCTCAGAGACGACCAAAACAGCGGCACTTCGCGCGCACCTTTTCCCCCCGCCCCCCCCGCCCCCCCCCCCCCCCCCCCCCCGCCACTACACGGCAGGAAGACAGCAGCACACAAAAGGGACCTTGTGTACGGCACAAGAACCGCCCACCCTGTCAGGCCCGGACAAGGAAAAAATCCCCTCACGGCGGGCTGTGCCGCTGCCCCTCACACACCCCTCACCGCAGCC